GCAGTCTGCTGACCAATCCGCGCTCGATCCGTCGCCGCGTGGTCTCCGAGTGTTTCTGCGCATGTCTGGGGCCCAGCCCGCTGCGTCGGGCCGCGCGCTCCGCTCCCCCGACTTCTAGGCCGAGCTCTTGACCCGAGCAGACGCGTCACGTCTGGCTCCGCGATTTGGCCCGTTCTGTCCGGGATTTATAACTTAGATTAGGCAGGGCATATTTGGCCAACTTGGATTTCATTCTCGTCTCTTCGTCGCTCCATGGTCTGATTCGCTGTTTTGGTTTTTGACTTCGTTTTGGTAATTTAAATATAACAACCCGCTCCTTAAATTAATTCTTTTACTTGGGGCCGTTTGGATCGAACTGATTGAATTTTTGGAACACGCACCAGGTTGATATTCTCCATTTCTGATTAACGTAAAACCCAGTCACTGATATGTGGTGAACAGCCCCACAGCACCACAAACTCAGATGGTGTTTTCTTGCAGCACCATACGTGCGAAAGTGTTGTCGATTTTCACATTAATAGCATGACTGTGCAAAGCGCTATCGCGGTTATGTGCTCTGCGTCACTCATTAGCGTGGTCTTCATCGGCGTCTGTCAGTTTCATCCACACCCAGGTGACAGACGCGTCATGTGACAGTCGTCTGTCACCGGAGCTGTCATGTCACACAGTCCATCACCAACTCTGTCCGCCGGCGAGCAGTCGAAATGTGACGACCCAGATTTGTCGCACGCGGCACGTGACGTGACACGGCGTGACGCGCCTGTCGGCGGCATGGCAACTGTCACGAGTGTGGCGGAGTGTCAGGAGACGTTGGATGACTTATCCGTGACGGGAGTGTCAGCCGGTAGCGAATGACTCCGACGATGATTCGGTATGACAGGGCGCACCGGCTACGAGGCGATCTCGCGCACCTTTCTCTTCTCTCTAGTTAGCCTTTACGCAATGCTGACAGTCAACCACGATTGCACTGGGCTGGTTGACAGTTATATGATCACAGGGGCGGATCCAAGGGGGGGGGTCACATGGGTCATGGCCCCCCCCCTTGAGGCCCGGGGGCCCAAAGACCTGCCAGGGGCACCACCGGCCTATCAGGGGTATCACAGTCCTGACAGGGGCACCACAGGACCGCCAGGGGCACCACAGGCCTAGCAGGGACACCACGGGCCTGGTGCCCCTGGGCCCTGACAGGACTGTAACGCCCCTGACAAGCCTGAAGTGTCCCCGGTAGGCACGTGGTGCCCCTGACAGGCCTGAGGCGCCCCTGCAAGGGCGGTGGTGCCCCTGGCAGGCCTGTGGTGTCCATGGCAGGCCTGTGGTGCCCTTGCTAGGCCTCTGGTGCCCCTGACAGGCTTGTAATGCCCCTGGAAGGACTGTGGTGCCCCTGGGCCCTGACAAGCCTGAGGTGCCCATGACAGGCCAGTGGTGCCCTTGCTAGGCCTGTGGTGCCCCTGGCAGGCCTCTGGTGCCCCTGACAGGCTTGCGGTGCCCTTGGAAGGACTGTGGTGTCCCTGGGCCCTGACAAGCCTGAGGTGTCCTTGACAGGCCCGTGGTGCCCTTGTTAGGCCTGTGGTGCCCCTGGCAGGCCTCTGGTGCCCTTGCTAGGCCGCTGGTGCCCCTGGCAGGCCTCTGGTGCCCTTGCTAGGCCGCTGGTACCCCTGCGCCCGGAGAGGACTGGTGCCCCTGAAAAGTCTGAAGTGCCCCTCGGCAGGCCCGTGGTGCCCCTGACAGGCCCAAGGTGCCCCTGCGAGGCCGGTGGTGCCCCTGGCAGACCTCTGGTGCCCCTGGCAGGTCTGTGGTGTCCCTGGCAGGTCTGTGGCGCCCCTGGCAGACCTGTGTTGACTGGTGCCCCTGCTAGGTCGCTGGTGCCCCTCACAGACCTGTGGTGCCCCTGGGCCTTGACAAGCCTGAGATGCCTGGCTATGACAGGCTCGTGGTGCCCCTGATAGACCAGTGGTGCCCTTGCTAGGCCTGTAGTGCCCCTGGCAGGCCTCTGGTGCCCCTGCTACCCCTGCGCCCGGAGAGGACTATGGTGCCCCTGAAAAGCCTGAAGTGCCTCTCGACAGGCCCGTGGTGCCCCTGGGCCCTGACAGGCCCAAGTTACCCCTGCGAGGTCGGTGGTGCTCCTGGCAGACCTCTGGTGCCCCTTGCAGGTCTGTGGTGCCCCTGGCAGGCCTGTGTTGACTGGTGCCCCTGCTAGGCCGCTGGTGCCCCTCACAGGCCTGCGGTGCCCCTGGAAGGACTGTGGTGCCCCTGCCCCTAGGGGTGCTCATGGGCCCAACAGGTCCGTTGTGCCCCTGACAGGCCTGTCGTGTATACTTGCTAGACCTGTGGTGCCCCTACTTCCTGGCAGGCCTGTGGTGCCCCTGGCGGGCCTGTGGCGCCCCTACAAGGCCGTAGGTGCCCCTGAAAGGTTTGTGGTGTCCCTTAAAGGACTTTGGTGCCCCTGACAAGCCTGAAGTGTCAAGGACAGACCCTTTAGGACGCCAGGGTCAAGTTCGTCGGACTGACAACGATTTGCTTACCTGATAACGTTCCTGGTAAGTACTCACTACTCAGCGTCCACAACATATATACACATAGCATCTATGCACATAGCACATTCATATATACTTGCTTACAGTTGGTAAATGTGGTTGTGGCTAAGAGTTAAGATACTGACTAAAAATAAAAAAAAATAAAAAAAACTGAAAATGGGGGCACCACCAAAATGAAGTGGACGAAATCCGTTGAGTTTTTAATTTTGGGTATAGGTAGGGGCACCACTTCGATTCATGACCCTCCCCTTGGAGTTTTCCTGGATCCGCCCCTGTATGATCAATAGTTTCATCAAGTGGATGTCTGAAAAAAAACTACTAAATGTGATGATCGCCTTTCGCACCACCACCAAAATTATCAGGCAAAGGTTTCACCGCAATACTTTCTACGCTACTGCCCGTCGTGGTACCTTTCTCCCCAGGACCATTCCTGGCTCCGCCACTGCCGGTCGCGGTCCATTTTCCCCCAAGGACCCTTCTGGGTCTGTCCCTGCCGGTATCGTTACACTGCTCTGCCCCCTCGAGGATCCCCCTGGGTGCGCCTCTGCCGGTCGCGGTACACTGCTCTGCCTGCTGTCGATTACCTCGCTATCGATCAGGGCGCCTGAGGTGGGCAGGCACGCCACTCCCCCCCCCCCTCTCGGCGACATCGTCGGCTCCGACGACCCCCCCCCCCCCCGCCTGTGGGGGTGATGACGCGCCGCGTCGGCTGGCTGTATTAATCGGCCGTGCTGTGGTCGCGTATTGGAGGTAATGGCCCCTAATGGAAGCAGTGGGAACCACTGATGGTGGCACGACCACCACCGCTCCGGGCAACGAGCGGGGGGGAGGGGGAGGGGCAGTGGTGGGTGGTGGGTGGGCGAGGGAAGGGTGATACATTAGGCGGTGGGAGGGGTGGGAAGAGGGTGGGGTAGTGGGCGGTGGGAGGGTGGGGAAAGGTGGCGTATTATGTGATGGAAGGGCGTGAAAGAGTGGGGAAAGGGTGGCGTATTAGGCGGTAGAATAGGCTTGTTTACAACTTTGAGCGCTACAAGTTTCCTCAGTTAATCATGTTCAGATTATTTATTCAGTGCGTCGGAAAAGTTGAAAACCAGCCTTTACTAAGTGTTTTCGAACTTGTTCGTTTCAGTAAAATGTTGTTTGTGCTCCAGCTCATTATCCAACATTGGCTCTGCACAGTTTACCAAGTGTTCGTAATTCAATAGCATATCGCTGCAACCAAAACAAAATATAACCCTCGTAAGGAAGCCGTTAGTACGTAAGCAGAAAAGCATGGTCTTTTCACGTTTTTCGGAGATTGAGGAGCGTGGAGAGACCAGATAGCGTTTGTTCACGGTTTGTCATGGTGACGGAGCGATCGACTAGGCGTGATACGGTGGAGAGATGACGGAGCGATCGACGAATAGAATGAGAGCGAGAGAGAGAGAGAGAGAGAGAGAGAGAGAGAGAGAGAGAGAGAGAGAGAGAGAGAGAAAAAAAAAAAAAAGAGAGAGAGAGAGAGGGGGGGGGAGAGAGAGTGAGGTGCGATGGGCGCAGGGATAGAAGAGTATTGGAATATTGCATTTTGTATTTTGTAATGAAAAGAAAGGAACAAGACTTTGTCTTGTAAGGGTACGCTGCAAGCTAAAATGCAACTCTGCATCCCACTTTGAGCTTGTGGACTTTGGTTGACTTACGATATCAATTCATTTTGGACCACCGAAGCTCCATCGTGATAGATGCTCTGTGTCATTGAAGTCGTTGATCTTGTCCTCTTTTTTAACTGGTTCTCTCTCTCTGACGTGGTACTGTGTGTCTCAGACGTGTCCGTTTGTGTCCAGTGTCACCCTCCCTTGACCCTTACGTGTTCGACTATGTTAGTGATCCTGTCCAGGACATCCTGTCTTCCCCTGACCCTGACGTGTCCGGTTATGTTCCTTATCCCGTCCAGGACATCCTGTCCCCCCGGCGAGTCGGTGTGTGTTCATTGCTCTGGCCTCTGTGAACAACTGAGCAGTCCCATCTCTGGCGACCATCACACTACACAAATAAACCTCCCAGCATCTGTCGGAATTGGCTCCCATCATCGCTTTATTGGCGCATCCATCTCGCTTCTGGTTCTGTCAGTGGGTGATGCCAGACAGGATATCGCTCGTCGTAGATAAATAAACTGAGACACATTTCCATTTCACGCCTACGAACACACAAATGTAGATTCAGCCCTGATGTTATGGTTCGCCGATTATTTCGAGGTATAGCGCTACGCAGAACGGTATGAGTGCAGTTTATAGCAAGAGTCCATTGCTAAAACTGTTGCACTCATTTGTTTAGAGCTCCGAGCCGAGTTTCAGGCATTTATTTGTCGAATAAAGCATCAGCTCATGTCAATTTCAAGGTTTGTACTACGAGCTCACTTATTATCATGTCTATCCAACTTTACGTACCTATTCGTCAAAAACCCGAGCTGACGCATCTTTCCTTTTTCAGACGGAGATCGCCAAGCGCCTGAACGCCATCCTGGCACAGGTCATGCCTTTTCTGTCACAAGAGGTGAGTGCTGGGTGGATAAAGGGGTCTGTCACAAGAGGTGAGTGCTGGGTGGATAAAGGGGTCTGTCACAAGAGGTGAGTGCTGGGTGGATAAAGGGGTCTGTCACAAGAGGTGAGTGCTGGGTGGATAAAGGGGTCTGTCACAAGAGGTGAGTGCTGGATGGATAAAGGGGTCTGTCACAAGAGGTGAGGGCTGGGTGGATAAAGGGGTCAATCGACAATGCTGAATGAGTTGGCAACTGGCAGGCGCACGAACAGTCCAGGGAGCATGAAGAGAATTTATTTGCAAAACCAATGCTTCAATTTGTAACTCTGCACTTGAACTAAACCCCGTTAAGCTGACTCGTCCTTGACCAGAAATTCACTTCGTTATTGTATTGACATTGAAACGTATCATTGTTTTTGAAGAGCAAACATGCATGGTATGTGTGGTAACTCATCAAACAACCACTGCAAATAAGCAACACATTCTTCAAACCATTTATGTAGTATGGTTCATTTATTTTGCTTTATGAGGACTCGAGTTCTGCACCGGCCATCAGCAACAATAAACTTACAGGGCTGCCGAACATTCAGCACGCTACTGCTGTCCGGGAGCACTTCTGATTGATGAAGAGTTGTTTCTTTGAAGAGCCTAATCACAGGGGCTTGACGCACTAGCTTCAAGTGTGCTATCAGTAGATCAGCAGTGGGTACTCGGAGCTTAGCTTCCGCAAAGTGTGAGGTCAAAGTTCGCATGGTTTCGATAACTGCCGCATACCGAGGTTTCATTGTCACTATTCCATTGCAAACCACTTGTCAATCACGTCACTACATAGTCTCTAAACCTCAATTTCACAATCACTTCAACACTAGGTGTGGAGATTTGCTGTTGTAATTGTCCTCTTTGAGATACTGACTTATTAGATTTATTATGTTTTCTCAGTTAAGCGCTATAACCAGAGCCATTTTGCTATTGTGGCTGATAATTTCTCTCGATCACACATTTCAATGTCTCTGCCTGTTGATTTTACATTATAACTCCAGTGATTAGTGGTCTCCGGCCGCTGGAATGTATCCCAATGACGTCATTTATTATCCCGCCAGCATCAGCAGCAGGTGGCCTCGGCAGTGGAGCGGGCCAAACAGGTCACCATGGCAGAACTCAACCAGATCATCGGCGTAAGTGGACGGAGCCGACCGGCCCGGGCTATCATGGGGCTGTGTGGGGTGGTTGAGGGTGTGGGGAGGGGATTTACAATAGGAAATGAGGAGGTGGATGATCGTGTTACGTGTTGCTTGTGGTTATTGTGGCCAAAGTTGTGTCTAAAAAAAAAATTGATACAGTATTCGCTATAGTATACCTATCTCTCGTAATATGATGCTCACGTCTAACTAACTTTTCCATTACAAATTTACGCAATCTATCGTTTGTCAACAAGCCAAATAGATACCTTTGCAATCATCAAGGCATCTTTTGCTCCGTCTAAACCAAAAAAAGGACTGAATGGTCATTATAATAAGCTTTGCTGGTTTTAAAATTCATTAACACAAATTATTGCCAACCACAAATTAGCGAAATGCCTGCTGATTCATGGCCAGGGCTTGTAACATATCGCAGCCACAAAAACATCTGTCTGGCCACTAAGTAGCCAATCCCCACTTAACTCGCCCCTGCCGCCGTCGGCGGATGATGAAGAATCCCGACGGAGCCGTGTTTGACTTGGCTCCCCACCGTGATCGCGCTGGTATGGCTTCTTTGATCGGTGCAGGACAACATCAGTCTCGACGTCGATCCGTCAGACTAAATTAGTTACAGCAGAGTCAACCGCGCCCGCGGCCACCGCCGCTCTCAAAGCCAAGGTGTTCTGGCTCAGCTGCGAATTAAGCTCGCGTTAGCAATCGGCAAGCCTATCAACGGGCGCCATCAGCAGCTGCCGCGCTGCGCCCAACATAATTTAGTGGCTTTTAATCAGCGTCGCTCGGCGCCGCTGTGGATTTAGTTAGTCGAGCGCCGGGCTCGAATCCGCCGGCTCACCGGGCTCGATCGATCGGCTAACTTTCAGCTCCAATCATAGCCGGCTGGGGTGTTTTTCTGATATCTGCCGCAGTGCTAATCATATATGCATTGTCGTCTGCCAGAATAGCCTGTGGCGAAAACACGCCTGAGCGCCATTAGTCGTCGTCGCGCGCCGTAATTCGCCGCTGCTGCGTCGTGTTTGGTTGCAGATCGATGTTAGGTCTCCGGGGATCGGATATGGTAGCTCACAGCGGAAAGGTGCTCCTTTGTTTGCGGGTCGATCGCGGGCAGTGGTAACGCGGCCCCGCTAGGCTCTGTCAAATCAGCGGCTTCGATCGTGAATAATGTGGAGCGTTGGACTGGTGGAGGTGAGGGGGGGGCAGGGGGAGGGAGAAGGGAAGGGTGGACTTACCACAGTAGGCTTGGAACGGGAGGGCCTCCAGCCGGGAAACGGGGTTGGGGAGGGACGATATGATAAAAGTGATTTAGGAGAGGGTGAAGCCGTAGAGAGATGTCAGAAAATTTGAATCAGAACGGCTACGCGACACTGAAATATGGATGAAAATGCCTTAAACTAGACGCGGGATGAATTTGAACCGCATGCGTGACGTGAAAGGCAACCAGAGAATTTCTTTTTCGGAAAGAACGTGTCATAGTAGTTCCGCTGAAAAGGAAGAGGGCGCCAGGTCAAGTGATGCTTTGATACCACTATAACAAGGGGTGATGCGAGCTCATGCAGGCTACCATCTTCGTCTTACTCAATAGCACATAAACTGATTTTTTTTATTTTGATTGAACTGAGTTATTTGATTATGAACCACTTTAAAAACGCAAAAATTGACAGTATCACCTGTGTCCCCCTGTGTGTCTCAAAGTCTCAAAGTTAGATATTGAGGCCTGAATCTTGTCTTGTATTTGGCATTTTCACAGTCCGGTCTTATATTACAATACGTATTAGATTTCAGTTTGTTAAAATTACTACATCACCATGCCAAAGAAAATAATCAAAATGCACCTTTCAGCTCCAAAGTATGAATGGATCAGAAAAGGACCACGAGCTTAAGATGGCCGACCAGCTAAGGCTGCTAGCCAAGCAGATTTCGGTAGGTGTGCTGTCATTCACTGGTAGCTGTTTGATGGTGTGTGTAGTTGGTTATGCTTTTTGCTCGAACTTCCCTGCAATGGTTCGCTCGGTATAGATCTGGTTGAGTGAATTCACCAGATCATTGGCGGAATAAAGCATCCACTGTTATGCACGTTGCTCGTTAACGATTTTTCTATTTTTCTATTTTGATTTTCTTATTAATATTCGTTTTGTTTGTGGATTGTGCTGTAGTGTGCACTCTACCCAGTTTGTCGTTGAGTGTTGGTTGTGACTTTTTATTTAACAATTATACGCTAACACTCTCATTTTGTTCGCATAAAATGACACAAGACCACCCCACAGATGTTTTTACGTGGATGATAAATACCACCATGCATGGCTTGGACTCGTAGAAGTAAGCGCGATAAGATATGTTGCCTTTGCAGGCTTATGTGTGCTCCCGCTTGCAGTGATCTTGACGTTGCAATATGATGTACTTACCTGCACAACTTACAGATGATGTTAGCAGCATTTAGGATTTTTTGTCACAAATGCCATTAAAAAAAAAAACAGGACACCTTCCCATGAAATATATATAACGCTGCATTTAACCTATGCCTTGCATTTGACCTACCAATTCCATTGCGCAGTGTGCGCTGTAGAATGTAGATGGGCAATGTGTAGGTGGAGGCTGCTCTGAAATGGATAGATACTGAGATAGGGGCCCTTTTATCGGAACAATGGTCACTGACCCACAGTGCAGTGCTTTGAAATGGCTATCCATGGAGCGACCGGAAGGGATCAGGAACTCATATCGAGTCTCCTGTCTTATCGAATTTGCACTGTGGAATAGATATAATCCGGCTCGGCTGTGTAAAGGAAAGAATGAATTTATTACACACTCATCTTTCCGTCGGAAAAAAACATCAATCGTGTAAAAGCTTGCACATCTCCTGCTTGCAGGCAAAGTGTTCCCAATGCTCTCTCATTACAACCTGTTAAACACATTTCTTAAATTAAATTTATGAGCATTCGCTTTTTGCAGCCGTCTTGGTATTGTAAGGAGGGAAATTGTTTGCCGTTGCAGAACCGCGATCGAACCCGAGCAGCAGAAGTAACGTGTTAGTATGTTTGGTAGGACCATCCCCTCACGGACACACCACCAACACCAGCCCCTCCCTGATTGTCGTTTCAGCCTCAAAGAGCGGACCTGCCCCGGCTATTGGTTAGTACCGCTATCATCGCTCACATGTGTGACGCCTGCATACATGATTCGGTTGCGCTTTGCATGTTTTGGTTTTGCCTCGCTTGCTCTATTATGGTGTGGCTTGTATGGGTTAAGTTGAATAGAATTGACTTGGCTTGGACATGATCTGTGTATGGTGTGTCCCGTCAGGCAGTAAAGGCAGGTGAGATTTGCCTGACAGTAGCTTCACCGCTGCTGCATTGGTATTGTTCTGTCCAGCCCTGGATTATATTCACTCTTCGGTTATTGGGTTTCGTCCTCCCGCACGCCTGTCTGAGTTTGCGACGTTTCCGTTCTTTGTTTTTGCATGTGGCGTGTTCCCCGGCTTTCTAATATGTTTCACCCAGTGTGGCGCTCTTTCTGCCAGTCTGTTGGTGCAATTTAACCGTCAGTGCAATCGCACCGCTGACACTTTTAATCCAGAGCGACGCCTGTTTTGCACTGGCTTCAACTAACCGACCTAGATTATGATTGATGCCGGCCATAGTGGGACAGCTTGTCAGCGGGCGCAGTTAATTCATTACGCCAGTGAAACGCTGTATCAGGGGTCTGGTTGTTGACTGGTTGTAAAAGGTGTTTGTCAGCCAGATGATGATAAACAGTTTGATATCAATTCATTATCATGAATATTTTGATCGTTTGTTTGGTGTTTATATTTTGCTCCATCTACCTATAAGGTTCACTGTTTAGTTATCGCTCATTTTGATTTAATTTTCATTGATACATTCATATAATTATTTGATAATTACATATATTCTATATTTTCACCCATAATGTCATCTTGATTTTCTTGGTCATGTTCCTTTACCGCTCGACTTTGACCGTGCCATCTCGCGACCGTAACCTGTGACCTTGACCGCGCCGCTGCTTGACCTTGACCTTCTGGCTGTGTTTCAGCAGCAGATGCACGCGCAGCAGTTGCCACACTCGCACGCTCCGCCGCTCTCCATGATGCCCCACCCGGGACTGGCCGGGCCGGGACTGCCGCCCTCCACAGTGGCAAGTCAGTATATATGTTATAGATGTCTGTTGTGGTTTAGAGGTTCATTGACAGTGCAGTCATAATGCACCCATCAAGTCGGGGTATGTAATGGCAGACAACTGTATAGTGCATCAAACTGAATTACACTTGCAGTATAATTTATACCTAATTATCAAACATGCCATAGAGAAACACGAATGCGATACTCCGTTTACCTAACAGCCATTGTAAATTCATTATGTATGCTCAAACGTGTTCGTGCACAAGTTTCGTTATAACTGGAAAAGTGAGATAGGTGATGTTCAAACAAGAGCTACTTTAATTTCCACATGCCCGACTTTGCTCTCAGTTAAAGCTTCTCAGTTAAAAAACAGATGTATCATTCTGTGTTCTAAGTTAATTCCGAATCCGCATACTTTAACAATTCACATTAGACTCCCCATTTGCTAAGGCTGTTAAAGCTTTTGAGGCATGCACACGTATTGCACAGGCACACGTTTGAATGCCGTTCAGATATTTTGCAGCAATTCCTCTAAACAACACACATCTCTAACCATAAAACTACATAGGATACTGGCCGTTTTCACGACGGAACTTTCGCAGAGGAACTTATTTGATACCTAAAAAGTACCTACCCTTAGAGGCCTTAACATCCCTCAAACTGAAATATTTTATGTTCAAAATAATTTTAGAAGTTTAAATCCGGGCATTTTTTGCCCTCAAATCACTTATTTATTTACAAACACAGCAATTTTTAGTTCTAGTAGCCCACCTTTCGACTATGAGGTATTAAATCAGCGTGGCAACTTGCTCCCTCTTTGCTCCCTCGGGTATCTAATTCCGGAATTCTTAAAAACAAGGAAAGTATATATCGAGTTCTCTTTTATACCTATTCAGCTATGTTTTAATGGTGATTAAAATATGACAATTTTTTAATTACATTTCATATAAGAAAACACGCAAAACAATGAAACAAAAATAACTACGGCAGATAATTACCTTCAGGTATCTAATTCCGACCAATCAGCACCTCAGTAGGATATGACGTCATACAAGAATGGTGGTGATGGCCGTTTGCAGTCCCGGCCGGTAGGTCACGTGACCGCCGGGCGCCTCGGGTCACGCGGCGGTCGGGAGTCGGACGCGGGGCGTGGTCGCGGGCGGACGCGCGGGGCATCATGCTTTGCTTTGCTTGCTTTGTCAGCTTCATATAACTTACTATCGCATTCGTGTGAAAGCCAAACACTGCTCAGTGCCCTTAGAAATTGAGTTTTGGAAAGCTCAAGTCCCTATAGCTCCTCAGGTCGGCAACAGTTGAAGCCTCATCTGAACCCATGTGAAAAAAACGAGGGTAAGGAACCTTGTGTTGCTTTTTCTTTTACCGTCATAATTATCTCAAACCATCACAATTTTGAGTTGCCACATTGTCTGCTTCACTACATTCGTGTAAAACTTGGGTGAAGGCTGGTGGCTCAAAGAAAGGTGAAGATATTTCTTTAAGTGCCTAATCCGTGAAATTGAAATATCCCGGCTTTACAAATCTACACTTTTCATTTTCTCCACGATACATTTTTTAAAATTGTTTAAATTTTATCTACATTTGTTAAAATCGGGGCTTTGGTCTTGTGTAAACTAGATCATAAAGTTTACTATAGTTTTGTGTAACCTGATGGCTGAAGAAAATAGTAATTTTGCTAAAATGATGTGCGGAAATTTGTTGCTTTCCAAATCAAATTACTCATACCTATATTTCATTCAAAATTAGGAGGCATTATTACTGTTTTTTCTTGTAACATGAACTGAGTTTGGGTACGGTACTCCGGAAACGTTGTGGAACTTTAAGCTAGCTAGAGCAGTTTCCATAAAAATTGTTTAGATAGTTGACATGGCTTGTTGACAACTCTTGCTGTTTCTAAAAAAGTGAAAAAATATTTTCCTGCATTAAGCACACAAGGCATGTTATTCTCATAAGCTATCGAATGTGTGTGTGTGTTTTTTTAAGCTGTTTTTTAAGCTTTTAAGCTGTAACTTCAGTTACTTCACTTCAGAACATATTGCCCAGAATGCGTCACTGATCATGAGCTGGTATATCATATCATATGTAGCAAATACATAAATGAGAATAGTGTGTCATGAATTTTTGTGCATGCTTCTGGATCATCTGTAATTACATCAAAGGCTCGGCTCAAGAGTGTCCTGCCGACCAGCTTATGCCCAACCCTTTCTGTCCGCAGAACGTCGCCTGCGACTCCCGCACGCCGTTTGCCCCGGCCGTCCGTACTGGTCTTCGCGCTGCGAGCCGCGCTGGAGTTCGCGGCGGCGTCGTGGAGCTCCCATCGGGACGGCGTGTGATGCCCGCGTCGAGCTTATAAGCCGTGAGCTTCGATTGGCGGCTCACGCGGTCACCAGCTGTATGTAGGTACAGCCTCGGCCCCGACGACCCCGCTAATGGCCGAGACCGGCATACCCCCGGCATGGGTCCGCTGTCCGGCGCAGCGCTGGCCGCCCGCATGCTATGCTACTTTTGGCTGTATCGCTGCCCAGCGGGAGCGCGCTCCACGCTGCGGAAGAGGTACACGTTGCGACCCGACTGAGGACTGCAACCGGATGGTGACACGTCGGCCTCTGCGCCCTGGCTGGGGCAGGCGTGACCGACGTCACAGTGGAGGAACGCCCAAACAAGACCAGCCCACCGTCGGAGCAGCATGGAAATATCATGATCTGCCTGGACGTCGGACCCGGCGGCCGCAGTGCACCTGCGTCCTGCACACGTGCGGAGAGGGGCGCTGGAGGCTACTCTGGAGCTTCTGCCATTCCGCGGCGCGACTGCTGGCAAAACGGCGGCGATTGAGGCGGTTGGGAACAGCTGCAGCAATGGTGATGGCGGTGATGGCGACATGGCGGTTTGGGACTTCATCTCAGCGCGGCCGCCGCCCAGGCGCCGCTGCGCCCGGCTGCTCAGCCACCTACCGGATGGCGGGGTGGCCCTTACGGCCCTCACGCCCGTTCGGTCTGCGGCCACGTTGTGGGGTGGCGGTCGCGGGGTTAGCGGCGTTGGACTTCGTCCTTTATCCAGACTGCACCGTACCATCTGAACGGATGGATCTGCCAAGAAAGATGACATCCAAGGCGGCTATGAGGCGATCACAAAGCTTCACCAAGAGCTTCTCCTTCATGGGGCCGGCCGGCCGTTAAGTCGCAACACCGGCTGCCGAGTGCCAACAGCTGCGTGCGCTGGCGCCGACGCGTTGTGGGCCGCGCTGCTGACGCCCAAGCTGCGATATCAACCATCTACATAAGCGTAGGAACCATGGGTGCATGGGTGCAGCTGCACCCACAATATTTATCCAGTGGGTGCAGACAATGTATTCTGCACCCACAATAATTTCATCAACACTACTTCCCATGCAGCACGGCAAATTCAGGATATGTTGCCTACTATCCATCTTTCGAAGCATTTGCTACTGTGATCAGTGATGGTCTTCAAAACTTACATTTGTGCTGAAAAAACGGAAATGGAGCATGTGATTGAACACATACCGAACCGATGACCCACTGTCAAAATTTTAGCCCGACATCTTCGAAAATGGCTAAGTTGACCGCTTTTACTTTTTGCAGTAGTCAATATTGACAATATTAGCCCTCGAATGTGTGCAGCGTTTTCCAGCTTCTAATGTGTAGGGGGAGGGGGAGGGGGTCGGTCGGACCCCCTGCCGTTCGGCCCCTGATCGAGCTAGAGCTTCGCGGAAAAAAACGAGGGTGTTGCCCGTGACGAGAGGAAGCGGATGATACCCAATTTTAAGGTCCTGCTTCATTGGTTGACCTTCCAGGTCAGGTCAATATTCCAAAAGTCGGGAAAATCGGGACCTGCTAGAACTGCGTAAAGTGAAGCTGTTATCGGGTTTTTCGGGGTGCTGATCACAAATATCTGATGTTAGTTTTGATCACAGATGATTTCTTCATGCATTTAGGCCAGATCGGGTCAGGTCAGGTCAGGTCAATCATTAGGCGTCCTACCGGCTATCCATAGTAGGTGTCAACTACCACTGACGGCGTCGTAGAATGTCACGAAAGCACTAAAACTACTTCGTAAACGTTCAAATGGATGCTAAATTCGAAATCAGCCCTATAAACTACCGTAGAAACATGTAAAACTCGAAAAAGTGAACCGAGGTCATCAAAGGTCAATGACCTGACCTGACCTTCAGGTTATCTTCACACCCACCGTGATGCATGGGAAGAACATCATTTCACATGTTTGGACGTCTACAATCACAAAAAGACTGGAAACGCGCGGATAATGTGAGCTGACATACATACGCCAAATCGCGATTCCAGCCGAACATGGTCTCGAGAATCAGGTCACAGGTCAAAGGTCTTTTGGGTCAGGGTCATGAAATTGTTAGAGTAGGTGTAAAACTGATCAACTCGAGGGTACTAAAAGTTTCGTCGCGCTCGACCGCTTTTTGCGCGAGTTATTTGCGAACAACCATGGGGGGGGGGGGTTCATCCGACCCCCCTACACATGCGAGGATCAATGCTTCCAAATGCACTTATCGGTTGGTACCTTTTCGACATGGTACACCCTCAAAGCTCGTTACGAGCCTTCGCTCGGGTGTCGCCCCCCCCCCTCACCGGCCATGGTTGGATTTCTGCACCCATGCACCCACAATGTTCCAGCCGTTCCTACGCGTCCATCTACGAGTATGAATAAGTGGCAGCGGTGGCGGCTTGTCAGTTGTTAACGTGCCTTAACAGACGTTGCGAATAGCCCGCGTTGGAATCGCATGGTTGGGAACACAACGCAAGTAAAAATGGGCTTCCTTGATGAACCTACTTTTTAAGCATTGTAGCCTTTGTAATTTTGGATGTTTTGCTGTAGATATTATTTTCTACATATACTCGTATACTATATAGGCACTCACGTGCTTTAAATCGCGCAATGCAATTGAACCATGGTAAAGACAATGATAAATGAACTGAGAGCTGACATGCCCCATGCTTTGTGTGTGTATGTGTGTGTGTGTGTGTGTGTGTGTTTTTTTTGGCGAGTCGATAAAAGTGGTTTTGGACACTGGATGAGTTTTTAGGGGTGTGGTGAGGGGGGATGTAATTCCACAGACATTCTGTCAGATTCACTAATGCAGTAGGTCTGTGCGGTGTTTAGTTATCGGAGCATTCTTTGAAAGTCGTGAATAGGGCCACCGAGTACCTAAAGCCGTGATATTCCCCCACAAAAACTTCTTTTAAATAACCGGGGATAGGTACATGAGCAGAGTAAATGCTATTACAAACGCCTATCACAATGCTGAGCGAATAGGAAAATCCATAGATGGAGAATTGTGCCGCGTTACGGGTGCTCGGGCGCAGCCAATCCACCGTTACCCCAGCGGTGACCTTGACCCGCATCGTCTGTTTCGGCTCCAAAGCCAAACCGGCGTGGAATTGGGAGCGTTCGAGCACTCATGGTCCAGCGCAATTCTCCACCTAAATCCATTCCTGATACACATTTGCTTGCTCATAGTCATGTAACCCCGGTAAATTCACCCAACTTTCATATTGGTCGCTCCATAGACAGATGGCCACAGAGATCAACTTAAAAGGCCATTGTTGCATTCATTTAGTGGAGATCATTAAAGAGCCGTGACAGGCCACAAGTCGCGTGACATCATACGTGTAACGACCAATGACGTCGGCCTGCAAAACCCAATGGAAGCGGCTAGCAGCGTGCAATAAAACAGGGCGCTGCTTTCTAAATGTCTGTCGTGCGCCATAAATGAATATATTCTTTGTAGCCTGGCAACTCAGTATCTTTTTTTAACTATTGTACTAGTATTCAATAATTTCATAATTTTATAATTGTGCTTACGCTTTATGTTGATATTAGTGATAAATCCTTAGATAAAGTAAATCGATGTGATATTTAATAGAAAAATAGCAAACTAATGCACCATTCATTCGAAAGCTGGGGAACCTACTAAAAAGAACTACTAAAATTCCTGAGGAACCAAAGGATCAAATGGGGATTAAATAGATGCCTGCTATTCCGTCGTGAAAACGGCCACTATGTCATAGCCTGAACATTTTTTTTAACCTGAACTTCTCGAAGGTGTCGAGCCCTGAGGGCAGACTCGATTCGTACTATCGAGTACCCAGTGTACCGTTGACCAGAACCATTCCACTCGCCCCGAAACTCTGATCACACTGCAAGTTTTAAGTTTGTGAAGGTCACGCAGGCCAAGGCCCAGTTATGTGCCCAGCACCCGGAACCTCGTTAAACGAAAACAAACTAGCGAAGAGCCATCCTGGGTTTGAGCCCACTGGTTCGTTTCCAACTTGTGGAACGACGGTCATAGTCTGGTGGGATGCGTTCATTCATCGCATGATCTGTAATTGGTAAAAATAAATAAAGAAAGTGGTGATAAATGATGGATAAACTTTATTTAAGATGAGCAATATACGTTGTGCAGTCCTCTCTCTCTCCCTCTCTCTCTCTCCCTCTCTCTCTCTCCCCCTCTCTCTCTCCCTCTCTCTTTCTCTCTCTCTCTTTCTCTCTTTCTCGCCGTCTCTCTTTTTTCTCTTGCTTTCTGCTTCCTCATCAGTCTTCCATCATCAACTGATTTTTCCTATTGAAAACAATTTGACACATTTGTTTGAATCCTGATCGCCCTTTCTAGAACGATTGTGACAGGTGAAATTTGATCACCCTGTGGCCATGTGAAACCCAGGTCACACAGATTAACCCCGCCCTCTGATGACTGGAAACTGTTCCCACGCTGTTTCGATAAACTTCCGTTACGACCACTACCGTCACAATCAATAATATACGCTCGTTAGTGTGTGAGAGCTGGGAACAGTGATGTTAAAGTGTTGTGTCCTGATTTTTCCTCCAGTCTGTACTGACTCTTGGTGACCTTTGTGAACTTTGATGACCCCTGGTGATCCCTGGTAGCCTAAGGTTTTAGTGAACCCTTCTAAGGGTCGTCATACCTATGTGTATGTAGGTCTAGTTATCCCTGGGGACCCTGATGACCCCCTGTGACCCCTTGTGACCCCTTATAACCCCTGGTAACTCCTTATGACCCCTGGTGACGGTTTGCCGCAGGTCTCCTGGGTCTGACCGGCCTGGCAGGAGGTCAGGCAGGTCACCCAGCGGCCCTCTCCAACCCGAAGCAGGACAGCAGTCGGGACGAGACAAAGACCTCTTCCACAGTGACAGGTGGGCGTGGCAGCGCCACTGGCTCAGGCGTCACATGAGACCATACAGTGATGATGACAAGTTTACTAAGCTTATGCCTATGCGGGATAAGACGGGTCTAAAAGAATGTAAAATGATATATGTTATAAATTTATGCATAGATGAGCCTTCACTCGATGCATTTTCAATGTCCCGACAAACGATCTCTCTAGTGTGTGTCATTAAAACGCAGGGGGTGTCCCATATCCATCCCAACCAGCTGACCCGACTCACTCCATAATCTTTATGATAACCTTTATGACTGGTACGCCGTCACTGTCATCTTGCTTCAAGATAACTGCGGCGCCAGCGACCGTGACGCGGCGTGTGTGACGCGTCGGATTCGTCACAACAGAAGCGCCACAAGTGTTGGGCTGAGTTACAGCCTGTGACTGATGTGTGTACCCGTCCCTGTGACCTTGAAAGTGAGTCTGACACCAGCCTCGGTTTTTGTCGGCAGGTGGTGGGCTGAATTCAGATGACAAAAACGTAAGTGCCTTCATGGTAATTGTGGGGTTGCTTGTTTCGGTTTAGCTCTATTTTGTGTTCATTGAGTTTTATTTTTTCGGGCTGGGTGTTTTTCTCGTGTGAAATGATACGGAAGAGGAAGTCTATGAAAACCGTTCAAACACAATCAGCATCACAGAGGCTGTTTGTGTTTTATCATTCCATTATCATTATCCATTTGTTTTATCTCGATTCGAAACAAATTCACGCTAAGGGAATCCTCAGTTATAAATGCCTTCCGAACTAGCGAATGCCAGGCATTCTTCCATTATTTTTAAGCTCAAGAAGGTTCTACGAACATTGCACTGGAGTGTTCTTGACTGGAATGTTATGTGGTGTCAATTATTTCAAGAAAGTGAGAGCGATCGTCCTGAATCCACGGTTTGTGGTTTGCTTATTCTCACATACCTTGTGGGTATAGGGCCTGACGAGAATGATCTCGCAATGAACGAACGAAAAGAGATAGATGGCATTCTGCAGCAGGAAAGGTTATTTGCGGGATGAGGCTCGCTGTGTGGAATTGCTGTGTGTTGCTGGGAAGGAGCTATGCAGCCATTTTTAGTCTCGACACATAGCCCGTTTCCCTTGGCGACTGTTACGTTCGTGCCAAGAATATGGCAATTCTCAATATGGGGCCTCAGCCAATCCATAACCGTCATCTATTCGGCGGCTAGCCTCTATCTCCGAGCGGAATCCAATCTTCATCCCTCGATTCCCTCCCGGTCCATTCCTCTCAGACGTCCCGCCGCGACGCCATGCATCAATAAACACACGGTCCAGTATGATTTGCTGGCCTCATCTCCGCCGCGTCTCGGGCACACTTCGCGCCGCTCCCCGCCGCGCGCGCCGTGTTCGCCGCCACAGCGGATGCGGCGAGCGTGACGCACCCCGCTGCGCCACAAATGCCGCGCGCCGCGCCGCGGGCGCTGGCAGCCTCTAATGGCCGCTCCGTATTAATCCATTGAGCGCGGATCGTGCGTTAATCGTACGGCATCCCTCATGCGGAGCAGTCATCAATAACACACCCACCGCGCTCGGGACATGATTCAATTACGTGGCCGGCGGTGGTAAGGCTCGGGCTCAGTAAGAGTGCGACTCGGTATGGAGATCAAGAACGCTGGGGTGCCCGGAAAACCCGCTGCCGATGCACAAATTAACGAGGGGTGTGGGGTGAAAGTAAAAGGTCGCTGGGAGATTAAGTCTTTGATGGAACGACTCCGCGAGTAAGGATTGTAGACAATTCCATGGTTTACTTGGGTAGATACTTTTTATTTGTTACAGATACCCACCCACCCGCAAACAATTGCTGGAATTTCTTTTAACATAATTGTTGCTGATGCAATGCTAGTGGATGTGGTATCAACAATCGAAACTTAACACACTTTTATCAAGTTCAGTGGCCTACATCGCACCCTCGCTTTTACCGATGAGTAGCTCCTCGCCTCGAGTCCTTTGTGTCGGCATATGGGACCATAATACACACCACAGACGTGCTACGCGTCCCGGTGGCCTCACCAGCACTATCTATGGGCAGCGACGCAAACTAACCGCAATACCAGGGACGGGTGATGGTCTGAACTTGTCACAGCCTGTGTTGGAGTTGAAAGCCGTTTTAACCAAGCCAAAAACAAAGAGATGCTTTAGCTTAACAAAATCTACGTTCTTAGAGGCTCTTAGAAAGCTTTTAAAAACGGTCCTAGTCGACTATTTAGGCATGGATTAGCTACCAAATGTGCGTAGCATGTCTAATCCGTCATACGTTATTTGTGCTTTGCAGAGAAATCCTTCAGTGTCTCCGGCCACGCGGGATAAGTACCATCGTAATCGCAGCCCAGAGACAGACAACAAACGCATGAAGAAAGAAGAGAAAACCGAGGTAAGTAGAACTGCGAGCAATAATCATAAAAATACCAACATACGGGTGGCACCATAAAACATACGCATTATGTAGCTTATTCCCTATAACGTTTTGAATCAGACATGTGTTATGCAACTGGTAGGAATTCGAGGAGCCCAGAGAAAGCATAGAGAGGAAATACGAGATAAAACGAAACTTTTTTTTCTCCCGATTCTTAGACCTTCATGCATGTTTCTCGTCGCTGGCGCTGGTCGTTTGTTTACCATTATCGACAGGTGGTCGATTGCCGCTCACCACACCGCCCTGGCCGGACCAATTTCACCGCATGTCACCCCTGGAACCACTACACTTATCTACCCGCTTTAAAATCTACCTGTCTTTACACGCCAAACAGAGGCGATAGTGGGTGACTATCTAATCGGCCCTCACTTCGCGCCCTGAACAAATCCAAACAGACACCGCCGCCTGGCCGGGGTCGGCAAACGCGCCATAAATCACGGACATATAGCCGGACTTATGGGTCTTCGAGGATGTCCATAAAACGACCAGGATATGTGATGAATGGTTTGTCAAAGGTCGTATATGGTGCAGCGACTGTGACCCATGAACGTCAAACAAAGACAGGCGATAACAATACGCCACATTGGAGCATTTATGAAGTGGGCACTCACAGAGTTCGAGGGTTTGAGAATGGGCGCCGTCAGTCATCTTTGAAAACTTTGAGTGCTAGCCAGGCGCAAACTCGGTGGGTTATTTCGGTGATGAATATATTAACCAGCGTAAAGCAGATATTTTGAAGTCAGTCTGCAAAATCAAAGTTATGGTTCACAGTGGTAACATACCTTCCTATTTTTAGTATAACCCGGAACCTCATATTTGACAAGTTATCTTATTATTTTTAGGCACTTCCTTCTTCGCAACATGCCCTTGCCTGATGTAACCTGTGTGACCTTTCTACCCCCGCAGGGCAGCGAGGGCGATAAGAGTGACCTTGACCTGGTGGTGGATGACGCCAATGACGCCACCAGTGGGGGTGTGACGTCACCCAAAGAGAACGGCCTCGAGCGGCTGCACCCCAAACGAGAGCCTCAGAGGTCAGTCACTAGGTGGCAGCACTGAGGCATTGACACGAGAATGTTTTGCCTTTTTGTTAGCTTCGAAATGCTTCCCTTATCATTGTGTTTTTCAATAAACAGTCTCTGTTAGGGTACCTATTTTTATTGCAGCACATGCTCTCTCTCTCTCTCTCTCTCTCTCTCTCTCTCTCTCTCTCCCTCTCTCTCTCTCTCTCTCTCTCTCTCTCTCTCTCTCTCTCTCTCTCTCTCTCTCTCTCTCTCTCAATTTCGAATCGTTGATCTGATAAATGCCAAACACGATGTCCTGTGAAGTTATCAACGCTTCGTGTGCATTATGCTTTGAGGAATTCGTCAACACCCTTGATTAGTCAAACACCATGTTAGAGATTCCTAACGTGTTTGATATTTGTTTAAGTGAAGATGTCCTGACTATCAACACTCGGAGAACAGTCCTGCTGAGCACTCCTAATAACAACGTGTGTCTCCCCCCCCCCCCCTGTCTCTCTGCAGCCCCCACAGCGGCACGTCCTCCAACGCCAGCACTCCCTCGATGAGGAAGATGGAGGACAAGCCGACCACCCCCAACTCCTCCGCCTCCACTGGAGTGGCCCCCGCCGCCAGTCTGGTCAACGGAAAGCCGGTCGGCAAGGCGCCGCCCATAGGTGGGTCAGGGTACGGGCGGTCACAGAGCAAGTCACAGGGCGGGTCATAGGTCAGGGCACAGGTCAAGTAAGAACTTACTTGTCAGTTTACAGACTAGTGGATGGAAGAGCGCAATCGCAGGGATGTGCTTTGGATGCATTCACCTACATGTTCAGGATTCGTTTTGGTCGGATGATCTCCTGGTTAGGGCTGTGGATAACCTAGGGCTTGATAAATCCAGTGATCCATGAGTAGCCACCATAGTAACATGCAATGATGCGATGAGTTTGTCAGTTTCATTTCATTTTTACGAGACATCCATGAAAAGGCGATCGTGCTTTGAGTGTGTTACAAACCCATTTCACGAAAGGAGAAGACTACATACGCCAATGATGTTTACTCGTATGTGTATTATGAACTAGCGTGGATAAAGTCATCCCTGTACTGTTACCAGTTGCCGTAAGATATGTAGCTGCATGCTAACATAGTCCATAAATTCCCTCAATTTGCATGGACTCGGACATCTCTAAATCGTGTTGGTGTGTCAGCATTTCACATCCGTTGGACAAAGGTATCTCATTTGTAGACGTGCTATTCACCGGTGGGAGTGACAGGAAATTAGTTATGGACTAACCTGCATAATCATATTTGAACGTAGCCCATTGCTGCACATTATTCATAATACTGCACTTGTCAAAACTGTCGTGACGTTATGCGCGCGCCATACTATTTAATTCATAGTTCCATGTACCTCAGACAAAGTTCTGAGCTCACAATTACTGCAGACCCTAGTCGCTGAATACTTGATCAGACACCTCCTATGACTGCCCACTCCGGCACTGCCGAATGGAGCGCATGAGAAATGAAGGCCTGCATTTGCCAATACCACTGGCCCGCTCAGATTAAATGATTTAGTGAGGCACTCGTGTGGAGCGGCCGTATGCAGTCGCAAGAGCACGCCGTCCACGATGTCAGGGAAGTGGAGCGGTAATTTACAGCGAGTTTACTCGCAGTTACGGCTGCATAAGTCACATAATGATCGGCCGTATGTGCAGTGGCACGGCAACACTCGCACGCAAACACGGGTTCACTGCCCCCCCCCCCCCAACTCCAACCCCTAGCATAACCCCGGCGAGTGAGCGTATTGAACTGGCCGCTTAAAGAGGCGAGTTCCATGTTTATTGCTTCAGTTGCGTCTTGCTTAAATTGCTGTGCTGGAATTGCGGAGTACACACATTACCATGATGGCAGTAATTAAGGCTACGGAGGAGAAATGTTTGTTCAACATATGCATTATGCACGCTATTGGACAAAACAAAACCAGGCTTGTTTTCTGACACCGATTCACTTCGTTGAGTGATAAGTGATTTGGCATCAGTGTTGCAATTTATAACTAAAATATGTTATAATTTCAACCTAATTTGGCTGTCATAGTAGGCTATTCCTTTATTCACATGTAACAGCTCACTTTACGAGCAGAACACATGGAAATGATCCATTGGGACCGGTCTTTGAGCAGCACTCATGGCCACCCCATTGTCCCATATACGCTGACAGGGAAGCCGAAACACCAGCCCATCCGTTCAAGAGCTCTTGCATCTAACGTTTCCTACATGCCCTCTGGGACAGTTAATTTCACACCTAAACCCACTCGCTGACAAATGCAGGCGGTCCCAAGGTCCTCAAACTAAGGAATTAGTTCACTGCTCTATTTCACGCTGGGTAGAATCCATGACATGAGGGATCCCCGAAATGTCATCACTGAATTGGCTCCGGAACTTTGTGCTTTTATTGTGATGCATTGACGTGGAAGCAAGGCTTTGTGCCGTCTAACCAGGCCAAGTTCCACGCTTAACGTTGTTGCCGCGCTCCTTCCGCCTGTTTCCCATTAGACGCCATTACGCTCCACGAATGGACCATTAGCCCACCGCGTTAATGTTATCGTTAATGAGCGGTGACTTGGTTACAGTTGTGTTGCGTGTCGCAAATGGTTAGCCACCCCTGCTACCCCCCCCCCCCCCCTCCCCAGGCGCGATGACGTGTCTAAAGCCAGCTAGTCCGGAGTGGTGACACTAATGGACTGCACAAGGCTGCAATGGCCACTGCAACTGCAATGTCAATTTGTTTAAGGAGTATGCTGATTGCATGGCTGGCGATTGCAAACTTTGCCTTAGCCGCTCAATACCGGACAAAGTTGAAGTTCAAACTGAAGTGTTCAGCTATTTAACATCACTATTTTAAGTACCAAACTGTTGTATTTGCGTGCAAAACTGCTTAAGGGCAGGCTTGACGCCCACTACCAAATTCCTGGTAGGTTATGAAGTTGGTAAGTTAAATATTCACCCAAGTATTTAATATCACGTATATGAACTCATTACTATTAATGTCAACAAAGAGTTGAGTAAATAGTGCAAGGAACACACTCAACCAATATGGCGAAGCAAAGTAGTGACATCCCCCTGCACTCAACCCTCTCATAATCCACGCACCCAAATTATGGACGTTGTCATGGCAACCGGCCTGCGGCCGCGACGCTCCTGCCATCCGATGTCAGCTGACAGACCTGAGTGGCTCGTACTCCACAGTATTGGCTGGCTGACCTGAAATCAGCGCTGTTCGCTGGGGCTCGACGCGCCGAAATTAACTGCCAGACCACTAGCCGAGATCTGTGGTGCCACTGGGTACATTGGAGGCATTGGAGACAGGCTAGAGATGATGATAAAACGGTGCCGTTTAGTGTCAACTTATCACAGTATAGCTACTGACACATGACAATAAGTTTATATGCTTTATAACGCTTATCCACAAAGGTAGGATAAACATTTGCATTGCATTGCAGTCCTAGCAGAAACACTTACACAGCTGCTAGTTAACCCGCGACCGCCTGGGAGGGGGGGTCGGATACGACCCCCCCCCCCCTCCGTTTTTCTTTAATAACTCATGAACCACTTTCGCTATCTACTTGAAACTTGGCATACCTTCTTCCCCATCAATTTGACGTCTCCTGTGCAATTTTTGAGAAGAAATTTCCAAATTTTTTTGAGATATATCGATTTTAGTGATGTAACTACATGGCGTTTTTAGTCAAAAAGTGGTAAATGTTTAAAAAAATCGCCAAAAATCAGGGTTTAAAGCAAATTGCAAATTAAGGACATGAAAAGACGCAGCTCAACGAGTTCTTTAAAATGGCTATCTCGGATTTTCCATAAAATGCGTTTTTCACCCCTAAAAATTCAAAAAACCACATTTCTTGGAAAACAGCTAATAAAATCCAAAATTTTGGGAATTTCCAAAAAACCGGAATATATGTTGTAGAGCTCTATTAGAACATTAGATGCCCCAAATTTCAACTTTCTATCTTGACTTTTGACCCCCAAATTGTAAAAAATAGCTCCAACATGCATAGGGCATGGTGACGTCATAAGCATTTTCGTGAATTAGAGGCACTTCTGAACATCGCATGTGAAAACAAATGGCACCACTAGATTCCTGGGACAAAGCTCGTCTAGAAAAGTGTATTTCTATGTCAAAAATAAAAAGTTGAAAAATTGACTTTTTTTCTTAGCCCTCCTTTAGTTATGTAGGGTATAAACGATTTTTTATGCTTTCAATGCACACTTATCACCAGCACAGTGACTTGGGGTCACATATAACCATTACCATCGGATTCGGCGTGAAAAATAAGCCATAAAACATGTGTCGCACGCCCATGTAGCAGAAATTGAAAACCGTGACCTTTCGTGACCTGACCTGACCTTGATCCGTACTTAGTATGACCCCTATACGCACATGGTACCTTCACTAGGCCTTTGAGGTCATTTTTGGTGAGTTTCGAGCAGCAGCTATCGATTCCGCTGTCCGTAAGCCTAATCATGCAAAACCCCTGAATTTGACCTTTGACCTGACCTTGACCCGAAAGTTGACCTCAATCTTAAAATCTTAAGAGTGCTTTGGGAAGGTCTCGTAGAGACCTTTCGAACGCCGCCTCGCGGGGCTCGATACGACCATTGGTTCTCGAGATAACAGGGGGGGGGGGGTCGGATCCGACCCCCCCCCCCCCAGGCTGTCGTGGGTACGGAAATAGCCCAGGCGGTGCCGGGTTAAGCACGAATGGCAGCCTGTGTTTCCGTACAATGACACACAAGGCAATGACACATTAATGCCACCCACATCTGTAAATTCGTCATTTGTACTATTCACAAAGCCAGCGGCCTGACCGATATCGCAACGGCACCACGGCAGCCACTAAAATTGTCAATTATATATTGAATATTGATCCCAACTCGCCCTGATCAGACGTCCCAGGAACCACGATGACTAGCGAACGAGCAGCCTGTCGCCGACAATCTTCTGTCGCGGCCAAATATGTCGGCCCGCGGCGCCGCCCCAGGGGCAGGAAGTGACCGCTTCACTCAGCGAACACGGTGTCACCGGGCGCAGCGCGAGGTCACGGGGGCAGCACAGTCGGCGGCAGTTGTCTGCGCCCCGGGCGCCGGGTGCGGCCGGCCGGCTGACCTCTGTGACCTAGCTGACCCCTGCTGACCCCTGGCGGGTCCCAGTGACCCCAGTGGCTGAGGCGACAGCTCTTACGCGGTAATAGCGTCTGAATGAGTCGCTCAGCGATGGGACCTCGCTAATTAAGATGGACATGTTTCATGGAATAAACTCGTCACCATTCCCGCTTAATTACTGACATGAAAGTTAAGTGGTGGTCTAGTGGGATGCTGGTCCCTGAACCTTACTTCACTGATAATTAGCAATTATACCGTATCGTGCTGGGCTGATATTTAGTGGCATTATCTGATACTCGTAGATGAGTGGCAAAGTGCCATACTATCTTCCACTAACTTTATGATCACGGCGCTTCCAGTAACTCTATGATCACAGCGGTCTCGTAATTTTGCTACTTGTTCTCAGGTCCGTTCGGACCGTTCAACCTGCCCGGATCAGCGGCGGCCACCTCTGAACCGTACAACTTGGCCCCCCACGGAGCAGCGGCCGCCGCCAGCGCCTACCGCGCAAACGTGAGTACTGCAACCTGTCGTCCCTTGATCCTTCGTGTCGCCCCCCCCCCTCCCCCGGACTTAGACACACGGGTTGTTGCCGCCGGCGCCTACCGCGCAAACTTTAGGTAGATTTTTCCCTAGCGAGATGGGAACGGGGCAAGTAAGAACGTGTGATATCCTTATTTAGGTACTTCTTTATGGATGTAGCTGGGCAGCTTAGTGCGATGTCAACATCATCTTAAAGTGGTTCAGTGAATGCGTGACATCTGCCAGCAATAAAAGGACATCATGTGGGGACAGCATAGCCTGCACATTCCACTCCAGCGCGGATCACAGAATACGCGAGTAGAATCTTGTAATCCGTGATTTCAGAGCTCCCGAGTGAGCGGCGTGTGTGTCATTGACGGCCACGCTGATGACACACACGCCGAAAGAGAGACTCGTGTGTGTCATCAATGCAAGTATCGGTTCCAATTTCCAAAGAAGCGCTTGCGGCGCACTTATCAAATCCGCCCCTAGATGGCAGTGTGAAAAGCGCCTGAATGTAGACTGTGCCGCTGAACGCGTGTAGGTTCACAATCCTGCTCATAGGTGGCAGCAGCAGTAGACGCCTGCGTGATACTGTGCCGCATGGCCCGGCGGCGCGGGAAGTCGTGACGGATAACCGCTGCTTTCAGTGTTTTGTTAAATGGATTTGGGCCATGAAGGGAAATGTCAATTTGCTTAAAATAACTCGTCTTATTACTTACTTGTCGTTTTGTTATGTATAGTCGACTACAGAATGATGTTCCACTTTTCACAGGCAATTATTTGCCTGGAGTGGTAGGCTGTGCCGCATCACACGGGCTGAGTTCACAAATTATAGCTTTGTCCCAATGCTCACAATCGACACGCTTAATTGCGTGATAAACGGCACAACTTAGCGCTCCGGTCAATTGATAGCTTCTGAGGAGTGGAACATCATTCTGTAGTCGACTATACTCAGCTATTCGGCAGCTCGTCGCTGAACTATTGAAATGAAGATAAGAAGTCAGAGTTTTTGTCGCAGATAGTAATAAGCCACCATGACTGGCCCCTGCATTGCATCAACCAGCTCCATCCTTCGACATATATATCTACCTCTGGTGGACTCTGTCTACCGTTTACCCCCTCCCCTCCCCTCCTCCCAGCCGGGTGAAGGGTGCGCAGCTACATCCAATCCGGCGGGCTAATTCAATTTGGGCGGCCGGAGCCGGCCAGCCATCGTCGGGCCCACTCCAGGGAGCAGTTGGAGCGACCCGGCGACCTGCTGTCTCCTCTCGCTCTGACACACCATGGCCCCTCTGCTCAACGGATGGTCCGTCCCTCTATCTCATGTCCGACAGTACTATTCGTACCTCCAGTCTCCAGCACCAGGGATTTCCACTCTTTTCACACCGATGGATTATATCATCACCTTCTTCTGTGCTCTTCTGTGCTATTCTACTGTAATAACAAACGTTGCTTATATCGCACTCCCACATCCACTATCCTTTCTCCCCTTCTTTCTTTCTTTCTTTTTCTCTTTCTTTCTTTCTTTCTTTCTTTCTTTCTTTCTTTCTTTCTTTCTTTCTTTCTTTCTTTCTTTCTTTCTTTCTTTCTTTCTTTCTTTCTTTCTTTCTTTCTTGCTCTCCTTTCTTTCTCATTCTGTCTCTCTCTTTCTGTCTCTCTGTCTATCTGTCTATCTGTCTCTCTGTCTCTCTGTCTCTCTCTCTCCCCGTCTCTGTCTCTCTTTCTCTGACTCTCTCTCTCTCTCTCTCTCTCTCTCTCTCTCTCTCTCTCTCTCTCTCTCTCTCTCTCTCTCTCTCTCTCTCTCTAACCTGTCTCTGCGACTTCTCTCGCTCTGTTTGGAGCTCACCCCGACCCTAATAGCCGGGACAATTCAGACGAGCTGTTCGGATAGGAAGTTGTTCGTTCGCCTGGCAATACCCCCGGGGGCCAGCAAGCAGGCAGATCCGCTCCGAAATGTCAACCAGAGCCGGCCATGGGCAGCGACATATCGCACGGACTCCTGGGTCTTGTTGTTTGGTTAAATTGGATAGAAGGTCGGTACATGTGTTGCATTTGCCGTAAATGGAAGAGCAAATACATAGAGCTCTCTTCAGGTCTCTTATTAGAGTGACCATTTAGCTTCCGTGCTGTGCAACGTAAAATAGCATATCGCATTTCCAATGGAAGCATCAAACGTATTGCAAATACCATTAACCCTCGCTCGCACATGCCATTTTCCCATCCTAGAACGCACATGGGGGGGGGGGGTGCCACCCTTAGAGCTTAGAGATAGAGCTTAGCGGTAAAGACAAAAAGATTCTTTGGGAAGAGACAAATCCAATGATACCCAGTTTTACCTTCTCAGGTCAGTCATTGACCTTCCAGGTCAGGTCAAACTAAAAAATGTTGCTGTTTTGGGTCACCGTTGGATATCAAGTGCGCTGATTATCATATACCGATGACGATGCCGTTTTCTGGTGCCAAGCCAGCTAGAACCTCTTTGTCACTACCCGACCAGGTTTTTGCTGCTGAGGTCATTTCAGGTCAAGTTAGGTCAAGGTCAATTATATGTGTTTGTATGTCCGTGTGTATACTGATGTGTGCACCGATTGTTTATGTGTCCATATTACATGAAATCATGATCTGAGAAGCTTTTACCAAAAATGCAGTAAAAAAAAACTTCACAAAAGGTAATTTCCGCTTGCCTAAAACGCAATTATCTTAGATGACCTAGGTTGACCTTGACCTTGACCTTTACATCTGTACATCGTCGAACAACATGTTCCATGATAGGTTGGAAGTAAGACTGGCAAAAAAGGCCGAAATCAAGGTGTCAAAAGCTCACAAGGCCCATAGCCAACGCAAGATGTTGAGAATTGGCCATTTGGGTCATAACATGACTTGAAAAACAAGGTCATATCGCCGAAACCAAAAACCACAGAAACTTGAAATTTTCAGTGGACATCAAGAAAGGATAGAGGAGCAGCTATACGAAAAATCAGCTCTCTAGCTCTACAAATGTTGAGTGCAGAGCAGAGAGACTACCTGGGGGGGGGGGTGGCAACCCCCCCCCCCCATGTGCGGGCGAGAGTTAAGTGTATTAATTTCATTTGAGATTTGCTTTAGATTTGTATGTGGCCTTAAGAGCAAAACAAATTACAAAATACGCTTCAAGAGATTTTAGTTCCGTTTCCAAAAATAATGTTATTGTGCTTATAAGTTGCCCTTGCCTAAAGTCAGCTTTGCAGCAATGCTAGATAGACAGATATGCCTTGTTCATAACCGCAATCATGCAGTCACAAACCACCAAAGTCCGGTCATTTTCCGAGCCCATGAGCCGTCAATGGGCCGCGCCTGATTCAGACCGGTTCACTAGGGAACTGAGCCGGGTTCACGCTCTACCCACTGCCATGAACCGTGCGCCGCCGCTCTGATGACGGTTTGTAATGCGGCCCGTGTGTGTCAGACTGTTAGAGAGAGCCACCGGTTCCCAGCGGCTGATGGGCTGTCATTAGGTGATTTGTAGTCGGCGTGGAACGGTTGGCCGGCTCGTTCTATCCGCTCGGCTGTGGGTGGGACTTGGTAGCATAGCAGGCACCGGTTTATAACCGACCTCCAGTCGTTAATGTGCGGCGATGATGTATAATTTGCTCATCAAGCAAAGCTGACTGCCAGTGGCATCACACGGTTGGAGTAGCGCCACCCATTTCCGCGACTCGTTATGAGAGCTCTCCACGGCGTAATGCCATGCCTCCCTGCATAGCTCTAACACCAAAATAGGCATTGATCATTGCTATTGTGATAAGTTTTATTTTTAGAACATGTTGGCTGCATGCAACTTCTTATGAATGGTTTCACAGCAAAGAATAAGCGCAATTCAGTGTACGTAATCTTTGCCTTTAACTTGCATCTTCTTTATCGATCTATGCTCTTTTTGTCCCCAACTATATATTAATTTTCACCGCGGATGGCAATCACAGAACTCTAATATGTGTATAAGATAACACGTTTTATTGACAGCAAGTTGCCACGCTTTCCCGCACAGGCTTTCCCGCATTCATTGACGATCATAGATGGAAAAAAAATCACAAATGTTTCTTTGTTTTCAGAATGATCTCAATTTCCACGCAAGAGGAGCGGGTCTAAGCGGCAACATACCGGGAGGAAAGCCGTAAGTGTGCTCTGCTATACCTACATATCCTACAGCAAGGTAGGAACGTTTTTCGGCTACTAGTCGTTTATTGTTTTCGTTTCGAATTTTCGACCTTCGCATCGAGGTCGTTGTCAAGAAACATATAACAATGACAATAACATGCATCGTGAACACGTTTGAAAAATAGTACGGTCATCATATCTAAAAACGTGCAAGTAATCCCTCCAGCTATTTCTGACCTGAAACTCTGTACCCAAAATTAATGAGGAAAAAAGTGTATGAATAGATGAACGAATGAATGAATGGCTAACTGGCGGACTGACTGACTGACTGAAGGAAAGAATGAATAAATGAATGAATGAATGAATGAATGAATGAATGAATGAATGAATGAATGAATGAATGAATGCAGTACATGAGACACACAAACAGGCTGTGACACATTAAAAATACATGCTTAAAATCTTTGATTGCTTGATCGTCGGATCTCGTTGCCCTACCAGCACTGATCCCATAAAGGACTGAATGCGGTGCCGTCTACTCGGTTGATCGTGTCGTTTTTCTTGACGTGTATTTGTAGCGCTTCTTTCGTGAGTCGTTTCGTTAGATTGTTTTCGTTTTCGAGGACTGTCGTTTTGTTCCAAAGCGGTGCGTGTTCTCCTGGTTCAAAAAGGTGATCTACGAAGGCGCTTCCGTTGTGATTGCAGTTTTTGACGTCTCTTTGATGTTCTTTTATTCTTGTTTGCAGCTTCCGTCGTGTTTGTCCGATGTAGATTTTGCCGCAGTGACAGGGGATTTCGTATACACAGGGCTTCTCTTCCGGTAGATGTTTGTCTTTGACTGTTGATAATTTGCTCCTAAGTGTTTGGCTTCTTGAAGGAATGGCACATTCAATGTTGTTCTTTTCCAGGAGGCGCTTCAGGTTGTGAGTTAGTCCCTCGCAGTATGGTAGGACTGCTCGAGGTTTCCTGTCGTTTCGTGTCGTTCTGTGATCCGTCGTTTGTTCGTTCTCTCCGTTTTCTGTCGTTTGTGGTTTCGGCTCTGGTGTTCTTCGTTTTCGTGCTATGTATTTGTGTATCGTCTTCGCTGGGAAACCATTTCTTTTTAAGGCTCGAAGTATGTACAGAAGCTCGTCTTCTAGATGTTCTGGTGAACAAATCTTGAAAGCCCGGTCGACTAGTGACCTCACGACTGCCATCTTCGAGGCTTGTGTGTGATTTGAGTCCCACTGGAGATATAAATCGGAATGTGTATCTTTTCTGTATATCTTGAAGCTGAATCCGTTTGTCTCTCTTCTGATTTTGACGTCCAGGAAGGCCATCTCACGATCTTCCTCTTTTTCCATGGTGAACTTGATGGCGTCATTTTGTGTGTTGAGGTGATCCAAAAACCCGTCTAGAGTGTCTTCGCCGTGTTGCCAAATCACTAGAATGTCGTCGACGTATCTGACCCACTTTTTGGGTTTGAGTTCTGATGTTTCAAGCGCTCTCTCTTCAAATGTCTCCATATATAAGTTCGCTATTACCGGTGACAAGGGTGACCCCATACTTGCCCCCTCGGTCTGCTGGAAGAATTGTCCGTTCTGTTTGAAAAACGTAGTTTTTAGGCAAGTTCTTGTCAGCTCTGCAATTTGCTGTGGTGTCAGTTCACTGCGATTTCACTGCGATTTTCTCAAAAGAGGAAAGGAAGGCAATCAAAGAACTTCAGCAAATGGACGACATCGTCATCCTGCCGGCGGACAAGGGAAATGTGACCGTAGTGATGGACAGGGAAGAATATCAAGAAAAAGTGGACCAGATGTTGCAAGATCAGGGCACGTACAAAAAGATTTCTAGAGATCCATCGAATAAGGCAGAAAAAGAAGTACGGGAAAACATCAAAGCACAGCAAGCAAACATTAAAGTAAATTTGTCCAATACGAGGCTGTCGAGATTTGTGGGATACCCGAAAATACACAAGGAGGGCGTGCCCCTACGCCCAGTCATCGATTCGAGAGATTCAGCGACCTACGACTTAGCGAAACGACTAACAAAAACGATTCACCCCATCGTAGGACAAACAGAATCCTACGTAAAGAATTCAAGCCACCTAGTGGAGATGCTGAAGAAGACGAAGGTCGAAAACAATGACTTGTTAGTAAGCTTTGACGTAAAGTCACTGTTTACTAACGTTCCAGTCGAAGACGCGTGCCAAATTCTGAGAGCAAAATTAGAAGCAGATGAAGACCTAGTAAATCGCAGTGAACTGACACCACAGCAAATTGCAGAGCTGACAAGAACTTGCCTAAAAACTACGTTTTTCAAACAGAACGGACAATTCTTCCAGCAGACCGAGGGGGCAAGTATGGGGTCACCCTTGTCACCGGTAATAGCGAACTTATATATATGGAGACATTTGAAGAGAGAGCGCTTGAAACATCAGAACTCAAACCCAAAAAGTGGGTCAGATACGTCGACGACATTCTAGTGATTTGGCAACACGGCGAAGACACTCTAGACGGGTTTTTGGATCACCTCAACACACAAAATGACGCCATCAAGTTCACCATGGAAAAAGAGGAAGATCGTGAGCTGGCCTTCCTGGACGTCAAAATCAGAAGAGAGACAAACGGATTCAGCTTCAAGATATACAGAAAAGATACACATTCCGATCTATATCTCCAGTGGGACTCAAATCACACACAAGCCTCGAAGATGGCAGTCGTGAGGTCACTAGTCGACCGGGCTTTCAAGATTTGTTCACCAGAACATCTAGAAGACGAGCTTCTGTACATACTTCGAGCCTTAAAAAGAAATGGTTTCCCAGCGAAGACGATACACAAATACATAGCACGAAAACGAAGAACACCAGAGCCGAAACCACAAACGACAGAAAACGGAGAGAACGAACAAACGACGGATCACAGAACGACACGAAACGACAGGAAACCTCGAGCAGTCCTACCATACTGCGAGGGACTAACTCACAACCTGAAGCGCCTCCTGGAAAAGAACAACATTGAATGTGCCATTTCTTCAAGAAGCCAAACACTTAGGAGCAAATTATCAACAGTCAAAGACAAACATCTACCGGAAGAGAAGCCCTGTGTATACGAAATCCCCTGTCACTGCGGCAAAATCTACATCGGACAAACACGACGGAAGCTGCAAACAAGAATAAAAGAACATCAAAGAGACGTCAAAAACTGCAATCACAACGGAAGCGCCTTCGTAGATCACCTTTTTGAACCAGGAGAACACGCACCGCTTTGGAACAAAACGACAGTCCTCGAAAACGAAAACAATCTAACGAAACGACTCACGAAAGAAGCGCTACAAATACACGTCAAGAAAAACGACACGATCAACCGAGTAGACGGCACCGCATTCAGTCCTTTATGGGATCAGTGCTGGTAGGGCAACGAGATCCGACGATCAAGCAATCAAAGATTTTAAGCATGTATTTTTAATGTGTCACAGCCTGTTTGTGTGTCTCATGTACTGCATTCATTCATTCATTCATTCATTCATTCATTCATTCATTCATTCATTCATTCATTCATTCATTCATTCATTCATTCATTCATTCATTCATTCATTCATTCATTTATTCATTCTTTCCTTCAGTCAGTCAGTCAGTCCGCCAGTTAGCCATTCATTCATTCGTTCATCTATTCATACACTTTTTTCCTCATTAATTTTGGGTACAGAGTTTCAGGTCAGAAATAGCTGGAGGGATTACTTGCACGTTTTTAGATATGACCAGTATAGCGCCTTTTGGGGCGACTAACGGAGCGAGCGAGGGGGTGAGTCTTGCACGTGCGAAATTTCGAGGGGGTACCTCCAACTGACTTGTGCACGGCACCCTACTGACCGGTTTCTAGCGATGTGCCAAATTTGAGCACAATCGGCCCAGCCGTTCTCGAGATCTGGGGGCGGCACCCTGCACGTGCGCACGTGCAAAATGGGTCCCAACTGACTTGTGCACGGCACCCTACTAACTGGTCCCAAACCGTGTACCAAATTTGAGCGCCATCGGTCCAGCCGTTCTCAAGATCTGGAAACGACCCCTGCACGTGCGCACGTGCAGCAGCACCCCAACTCTGGCACATGGATATGCAGTGCCTAGTGGGTGCCTACCTACATGCCAACTTTCAGCGCAATCGGCCAAGTAGTTACCGAGATATTGCAACAATTACAAAACTGACACCTCTTCGTTTTGCACGTGGCACGTGCATAAGGGGTCACCCACATGCATCGGGAATAGTCCAATACTTGGTAGAAGGAATGAAGCTACCCGACAAAAATTACCGCGTGTAAATCGGTCAAGTGGTTGCTGAGATATAAGCCTCGCAAAAGCGTGACCACGGCCGGCCGGCCGGCCGGCCGCTCATACTCAGAAATTTCCGTTAATCTAAGGAAAGACTCCGCTCGCTTCGCTCGCTCCGTAATGACCGTACTATTTTTCAAACGTGTTCACGATGCATGTTATTGTCATTGTTATATGTTTCTTGACAACCAATTGACAACGACCTCGATGCGAAGGTCGAAAATTCGAAACGAAAACAATAAACGACTAGTAGCCGAAAAACGTTCCTACCTTGTAATGTCTAGTCGTAAAAGCTTAAAATCATATATATCCTACAGCAATCCATTGTAAGTACGTACGTCATACAGCCATCATCTCACTGACACCACTGGCGGATCCAAGGGGGGGGGGGCATTAGGGGCATATGCCCCCTCCGTCAGGAGCCTGGGGAGGGCATTCAGTGCAAGTATGCCCCCCCCCCGTTCAGACTTACACTTCTTACGCCTATAACGAGGAACTAAATAAAAATGGATTAGGAAGCCTTCCTAGTAACTACTTTTGTGATCAGAGTCGTTTTAGTAACCTCAATTTGGTTGTCATTGCTTTATTTTGTCTAAAAATATGTTGCTTCTTAGTTCTTACCACAGGGGAGTCATGCCGCTTCAACCCTTTTAACCGTTGTCTAACGATGGCACTCATATTGCGCAAACCAGGAATCGGCCGCCGCCTAT